TTAAAAGGGACCCTAGTGGTGTGGTGGGTTACATGCTGGACAGCTGACCAAAAGATCAAAACCACCAGCTGCTCTTTGGGAGAATGTTGAAGATACACTGGCTTGGCCAGGGGCATGTCTACTCTGCAGGGTCGCTCCAAGGCAGAACTGACTCAACGGGAGCAAGTTGCTTCTTTTAAAGTTTTAGCATTTCCCTGAGAAACCATCTAGGTCTATTGATTTTTTTTTTAACTCTCTATTTCTTCCATGGAAATCAATTGATTAAACTTTTTGTTTAGTTTTTTAAATCTCTTTCTGCACTGTCCAACATGGCAGGCACTAACCATGCATGACTACTACAGAACACATGAAAACATGGCTAGTGTAACTGAGGAACTGAAACTTTTATTTTGTTTTTATCGAAAACGATATGCCCCCCCAGGAAGTTACAAAAAAATGCATAGCGGTGCCCATATTATACTTTACCTAGCCTCCTTCAATGTTCACATATTACACAGAACAATATCAATCATGGGAAATTGACATTGGTACAATTTGTCTTTTTTTAGTTTTAAAGAAATAGTCCAATTATTTTCAAAATTTATTTAACTCTACTTAAAGTAGGCCCACGTGGCCAGTGTGGCTTTGTTGGACAACACAAGTCTGAAACGGTTTCCGGATGTGGATAATGCAAAGCGCACCGGAAGCAAGATACAAATGGTCAACAGCACAAGTGACCAGGCCCACAAAAGCATCAGAAGTTTAGAAAGTTGATCTTTTCACAGTAGAAGACAATATTGACAAAGGGTGGGGCCCCATTAGTTATCGTCCCCTTTATGTTTATCTTAGACCCAGATTCTCTATTGGGGGCCTTTCAAATTTCATGTCAGGAATTTTGTAACTTTTAAGCAAAGAGCAATTTAAGTTACAGAGGTTTATTTTCTTTTTTAACAAAATTTTTAAATCATTTTATTGGGTGTACAACTCTTATCACAATCCATAGATACATCAATTGTGTAAAGCACATTTGTACATTTGTTACCATCATCATTCTCAAAACATATGCTCTCCACATAAGCCCCTGGCATCAGCTCCACATTTTCCCCCTCCTTCCCCGCTCCCCCCTCCCTCATGAACCTTCGATAATTTATAAATTGTTATTTTGTCATATCTTACACTGTCCAAAGTCTCCCTTCACCCACTTTTCTGTTTTCTGTCCCCCAGGGAGGAGGTTATATTTAGAACCTTGTAATCAGTTCCCCCTCTCTAACCCACCCTCCCTTCACCCACACTTATCCATACCTTTAATATACTCATAGTCCAAGTCCATTTGAATCTCCAATAATAAAGGATAGGATTTAGGAAAAGCCTGCATTTGCAAATTTATAAAAGCATTGCTGTTGTTATTGCTGCTAATTATTCTGAGTTAGTTCTGACACTCGTGGTAACCCAATGGATCGCAAAATGAAATGGTGCTTGGTCTCCTGCCGCATTCTGATCACTGGAATACTTAAATCCATTGTGGCTTTTATGAACTATGAGCACCTTCCAACTTAGAGGGCTTTGTCTTCCACTCTTGACTCGAACAATCCTTTTCTTGAAGATTATAGGATTTGGGGGTTATAATTTTAAAACTTAGATTTCAGACATTCTTCTTACTGTCTTTGTCTGGAAATTCCAATAAAACTTGTCCAATGTGGTTGACCAGGCTGGTATTTTAAATATTGGAGGCTGAGCTTTCAGCATCACAGCAATACACAAGTCACCCCTGTTTTATAAACTGACAGACAAGTGGTATTGAACCGTGTAAAATTCTCAGCACCAAGGCTTCATAAGCCATGCCTGGTAAACTATAGGTAGACAGTATATGAGAAAAGGTGAAAAAACCTGAAAGCGTGGCCAGCCAGTTGAGACTGCTTAACCAGGAGTTGGACTACACACATCAGTACCATTTTTACTATGGCCCAGAATGTGAACAAATAAAAATGAAGACTATTGAGGCAAATCACTAAGGTAAATAAAGGTGGGCCTGGAACAGCCAACTGAGAGATTTTCACTTAATTCTGGGTAAAGAGGAGCTAGAGAGAGTTCCCACACCAAGGGCGCTGGATGGTGGCCCTCCAGGAGCTGGAAAGGCACTGCCCGACAAGCTGCAGCCTGGGGCTTACGTGACTGCACGAGAGATACCTGGACTGAGAAGTGGAGTGTTCAAGATAAACCAGGGGTGAAGTTTGGGAAGTGAGGGCTGATGACATGATTTCTAAGTTCAGAGTACTGTATTTTACAGTTATTGTCCAATAATTTTATTTGTTACTTTCAAGATCAGAATTTTAGAATATAGCTCTTAGAATATAGCTGTGTTCCTTGCCAAAAAATGTAACCTTGACTTTCATTCCCAAAGCTGCTGTCTGAAAGCCTTTCCTGATTGGGACACAAGACTGGCACCTACTCTTTGTTTCCCAAAACTGTCATGAGATGCACGAATGTCCCTGTGCAGAACAATGCTCTGTCACCGCCTGTGAAGTAGAAGTTAAGAACCAAGTAGAGAGAAGTCACGAAGCACAATCAACTGTATCCTCCATGAAGAAGCTATTACACAAATAATGAGGCAGAACCTTTCCACTTTTAATAATAATGGAGTGGATATAATTTAGATTACTGAATCAAATTAATGAACTCGCTAGTGATAAGAATAAAACAACAAGATATAAATGCAAGGAATATTTTTGCATCCAAATGTCCATTCAATGTATGATTTGGGAAGAAGAGCCAAACCTGAATTTTCAACCAGTTATAGTCTTTACTTTAAAGGAAACAATCCTGAGGAGCGGAATTAAATGCATTCATCCTTGAGGTAGAAAATTCAAGGGCAATAATAATGTATATGATTAAGTGAACTGAGCTAAGGCCAGAAAGTCACAGGCCAGCTGCCTCTCTAGAATTGCACAGGCCCTGCAGTTGAAGGCAATCGCACAGCTGAGTCGCCCTCAATTCCATTTCCCAGGCACAGCCCCTTCTGGTTCTCTGGTTATTAATTATGGTAACCCTTCCTTTGCCCCCACAAAGGGGTAAAATCTACTCCTCATGGAGTGGGGGGGGGGGGGTGATAACCAGTGGCATCCCAGACGTTTCCTTATTCAGAACAGAGTAGGGTGATTATGCATACGAGATTCCCAGGAAATTGAAGTGGCCTTCCTTTCCCTGTTAAAACTACACTTTGACTAATAGAAAGTCTGTCTTACTTAACATCATCTAACAAGATCACATTAATATATCTCTCCTCTTTGACACAGCTGTATATAATCCGCAACAGGATAAAATGTCCTCTTGAACTGGCAACAGGACTAGATTCGTTTTTCACTCTAAATTAATGACATTGTTTGTTCAAGTAACATTACTAATGGATTGCATAATATTCATCAGATAAAGCACTAATACAAAGTTGAAAGAAAGCAAATTAAGTCATCATAGGCCTTGAAAAACAATGACTGAGGCTGCTATGAGAGTCTGATATGTAGGAAATTAAAACTGAAATAATGGCTCCGACTGCTTTTAACTACTATGTGTGTGTGTGTGAGAGAGAGAGAGAGATCCATAAAGAGTAACTTAACACACAAGTTGAACTTCTAATGAGTTTGGTGACATTTGAAAGTCCTAAAGGTCATTAGGATCCTAATAAAACTGAAGTCATTCCACTGAACTAAAAAACAATTTAAATGTATTTGGAGAAAGGGCCAAGCAATCTTTAGTACATACTGTCTAGGTAAAAGGTAAAGAAGATAAGAGAGAAATGTTCCATATTTTATTTAATCTGTAATCAATTCCAGCCTTTGCTTATGAGATGCATACAGCAACCATATCAAAGAAACTGCCACATATAAGATTATAACTTGACATTGTCAGAGTTTTAATAGCAAAACCAATCTCATCTGGAATCATTAGAACATCCTTGTGTAAGTGAATGTGTTTGTGAGTGATTGTATGCACATCGGATTTCTAGTAAAATTAAGTGTCTACGATCAAATAATAACTTCCATTTACCCTTGCACTGCCTCTGTGTACCTTAGAAGTCTCTTGTTAGGTTCTTAAGACAACTATTGTTCTGTTTTGCACATAAGGAGACAATAAAAGACTTGCCCCCAAATCACCTACTATTCTTACCCCCATCTACAGATATCTTTTTATTGAACTTCGCTCTCCCTTAGTTTACCTTTCTGTGCTCAAAAGGGCGGAGAGTGCCACCTGGGCTAACGAGACCAAATGCAGTAACAGCCACAGTCATGCCCTGGTAAAGGACAAGATCCTGACAACACGTGGCTTCGTCTCTTCATTTCTCAAATGTACCCCTCAGAGCAAAAAGAATGATGCTTTCACAAGTTTTCATTTCCCTGCCCCCAATCTCAGTGTATTGACTCTTGTTTTTCATATACCAATGGAAAATGTAAGTCAAAATTAGCATTAGATTATACATTAGCAATAAAAACTATTAAATATATGCATGTAAACATACGTATCAATAGATATCCTTCCAAAGGGCTGTTAACAAATCACTCATCCTATCTTCAAAATAATAAACTTACTGCCCAAAAGCATAACCAAACATCCAATCATTCTGTTCCTGGGCTTTAATTTTATAACTGATTTAACATCTGTAATTAAAATAATAATCATCACCAAAGTGACTCCAACATACCAACGGTCATGAACATGGCCCCGGGTGGAATGCTGCTTTGTTCTCCGGGCCAGAACGTTGCCATGAGTCAGAGCTGGCTTGCCAGCAACTGACTACAACGGCAACAAAAAATACCAAGATAGACCTGTTCTTCGGATCAACAAGACACACCTGGTGGTAATTAGCTCCAGATCCTTTTTGACTTAGTTGTGGACATTTTATAATACTATCACCAGGTTTTGAAACAGAAGTTTAATTGATTTTCCAGCACACTTTAACATACGAATACATTCTACTACCTGTGTGGGTTTAAAGAGAAAAGCTTGAATTCCTTCTTCGTGGAGCTCACCTGGTGAAGTCTGTCATCTCCATCATGATCATACACATCTGCTTGGCCAACACAATGATGTCATTGCCGCTGTCGTCCCATTTGGCCACCTCGGCATCCAGCTTGCTTTTCTCTTGGTGGAAGATCTCCACCTGCTCAGCGATTTTTGCCTTCTCCTCCTGCGGCAACTGTGCCATGATGGCCTGTGGGTAACAGACAAAGCAGGATCAACAGGGACAGAGCAGCACCAGCCTGCCGGCTGACCCCACCCTGTGAATGGCAAAGCCAAGCACAGACAGGGGTTAGGACTGCTCGCCATTCTTGGAAACACATCTTCTCCATCCCAGGGATTTCCCAAAGGCTGGTGAGGTTCCCAACTCCCTCTTTCCCGACCCGCACATATGAAAAGTACAGGGAGATCCAAGGTTTACACACACTGACAGTCACAGACCTTCTCTGTGGCTTTGATGACATAGGTTCGTTCCAAAGAATCTATTCTTGACAATTCTTACATTTGGTCTCTGCACTTTTACCAGATAAACGAATGCACCTCTTTCAACACTAAACTCCGTTCAGAGAAGAGGAAAAACAAGTTCTGTCACTGAGAAGGAGAAGAATTTTAAACATTATCTGAACATCCAAGTGCAGGGGGTGGGAAGACCTTCTATGAGGATTAATGAAGGAGCCCACAAGTATGCCAAAGGAAAATCCCACAGCCAAGGTATTTGGAAGGAGAGGCTTTATCTGTTCTCAGCCCTCCTCCACGTCTCCATATCAATGCTGTTGTGACTGTGATTTGCTCCACAGCCTCTGAGCACAGAGGCAGAGGGGTTATGATGCCAAAGCAGAGGCTTAGGAAACAACGGTTGATTTTTAAGAGTTTTCAGAGAAGGGCATGGAGGGAAAAGGAGAACTATTTGTTAAAGGCCATTTGTGCCTCTGATTCTGAGGGAAATATTTGAAATCACTTCACTGCTTCTTCACAGACCTGACAACCTGCCTCACGTGCTACAGCAGGGGGTAGGTTCTTCCACACCACCTTCTAGCTTATTCTGGGGCCTGTGTATTCTGCAGTGGGAAAGTCAGACAATACCATCTGGGGGTCTCTGGTTTGTCTCACAAATCAGTCAATATTATAAGGAAAAGACTTTCTAAATTGTACATTCCTTTTGATGTGCTGTGGGGGCAGGGGTAGGAAAACAAAGTCAACCATAGGATGGCTGCATGTGAGTTCACCCCAGGTGGCTGGACTGAGTGAGCTCAGTCACAGATGTGGTTACAACTTCATGGTCACGTAGATCAGATTCTCAATTAAAAAAAAAAAAAAAAAAAAGGTCAGGTCAGACTAAAGAATAGTAAGGTATTATGGAGGATGTAATGTGAAATAATGAAAGCACAAGCTTTGTCCAAACTAAATAAAAGCAAACGTGTGTGGGATTAGCAACAGTACTTATTAGCATCACTGCCTTTAGCTTTCCTTTCTCCCTACTTTCTAGCCTATTTCTGAGATGCCACTAAAGGAGAAGGGATGGAAGAACCAGAATGTATGTGCCATTTTGTAAACAGAATCTTGGTGTGATTCCTCATACACACATATATAGGCTGGCTACTCTGTTAAATGTTTTATTATGTTATATAATTTCAACTACTGAATCATCTCACTGGATACATTTACATCTTTTCTTCCTTTTGATATGTATATTGAGGTCCTGAAAGATTGACTATATCCCCAATGTTACAGAGCTAATAAGCTTCACATATTAATAGAATTTAAACCCAAGTCTACTAATGCCATTCTGAGCCAGTGTCCCAGATGAGGTGAAAGTGCATAGACATGCAGATTATGCTCTGCACAATGAATGGTGCCTGGTCCATTGGGCCAAGAACTACTGGAGTTTCAGGTGCTGAGCACATCCTGATGACTGCGCTTCATCTGCACAGTGCAAAGAGATCTTTGTTTGATTATTATAAACATATCTTTGGACTAGCCGCTGCTCAGATACTACATATTCCTGCTAACAAAGAGCCACTCCCAAGTGCATACGTTTGACAATATATCTGTGTGTGCATATGACTCTCTCTATAGAGAGGCATTAATTCACAATATAGTTTTAAAAGTCAAAGTGATACAAATACTGTAGTTCACGTATGAAAACCACACTTGGAAAAACCTTTGCAAGTAGTTTTACATGCTATTTAGAAGTGTCTTTAATTTACAAAAGACTGTTACACACCCACATTTGCAATATGGTATTAATGACAACGCAGCTTTCCCACTGCAAGGAAGTCCATGGGGATTTTCAGAAATTAAATATGTACTTATTTGCTGGATAAAAAATGCTGTCCTGCATTGGGCTTCCACTCAAGTACTCCCTCAAGGCAAAAATACTTTCTTCTATTAAATTGGCATTCTATGATGCTCACCTTCCCCACACAATTGCTGAAGACAAAGCGGGTGAATAAGCAAATGTGGTGAAGAAAGCTGATGGTGCCCGGCTATCAAAAGATGTAGCATCTGGGGTCTTAAAGGCTTGAAGGTAAACAAGCGGCCATCTAGCTCAGAAGCAACAAAGCCCACATGGAAGAAGCACACCAGCCTGTGTGATCAGAGGTGTCAAAGGAATCAGGTATCAGGCATCATCAGAATAAAAAATTATATCATTGTGAATGAGGGGTGGAGTGTGGAATGCAGACCCAAAGCCCATTTGTAGGCCACTGGAAATCCCCTTACAGAAGGGTTTCAGGGAGGAGACAAGCCAGTCAGGGTGCAGTGTAGCAACAATGAAACATGCAACTGTCCTCTACTTCCTAAATGCTTCCTCCCCCCCAACTATCATGATCCCAATTCTACCTTACAAATATGGCTAGACCAGAGAATGTACACTGGTACAGATAGGAACTGGAAACACAGGGAATCCAGGGCAGATGATCCCTTCAGGACCAGTGGTGTGAGTGGTGATACTGGGAGGGTGGAGGGAGGGTGGGTTGGAAAGGGGGGACCGATTACAGGGATCTACATGTGGCCTCCTCTCTGGGGGACGGCCAACAGAAAAGTGGTGGGGAAGGGAGATGTCGGACAGGGCAAGACATGACAAAATAATAATTTATAAATTATCAAGGGTTCATGAAGGAGGGGGGAGCGAGAAGGGAGGGGAAAAATAAGGAGCTGATGCCAGGGACTCAGGTGGAGAGCAAATGTTCTGAGAATGATGATGGTAATGAATGTACAAATGTGCCTTACACAATTGATGTAGGTATGGATTGTGATGAGTTGTATGAGCCCCTAATAAAATGATTTTTAAAAAATGCTGTCCTGAGAAAATATGTCCTCTTCATGCATAAGGGAGGGAGGTATGATTCATGTAGCCATAGCAGGCCACACACCCACATGATGTCAAGTATTCTTCATGTGTGGCACTGAAATAGAATATTTAAAATGATCCCCAAGACTGCCAGACTGCCATTTCCCAGATAGGCACTCCCAAGTGCAAAGTGGGGCACCCTTCACCATCCCACAGGGTTAATTTATGCAGTGAGGGGTATCTACTTGTCAACACTCCAGTTTTCATCACATAATTTAGCATTTATCTGCCTTGCACTGATCTCTAACGAATTCCTCCCAACGCTCTCCCCTGACTTTCTCACAGTGGCAGTCTCCATGTCCTATAGAACAGAAGCTCAATCCACATCTTTAGATTGACTCTGTAAAGTCCTGCCACGATGGACAAAGATCTTCCACAAACACAATTCTGAAGGGAAGCTAGCACTTCTCAGCAGATTCGCAAAGGAAGTTGCTCTTCCAACTCGGGGGCTATTTGACCTGCGTGATGCACTGAATGGGGGCAAGGGGGGGGCATGGGGGCGGGGGGGGGGGGGGGGGGGGGGGGGGGGGGGGGGGGGGGGGGGGTTGGTGGTGGTTTGCCTTGGATGCCAGTGTCCTTATGTTTGCTCCTGCTTGTGTCGTTATTGATGAGCTCTCCTTCCCTCAACATTTTTAGAGTGCTCCTGGCTTTTAAAAATGCATAATTGACCTTTTCTCGAACTGGAATTTAAAAAAAGGTTATCTATAAACAGTAGATCACAAACTGCAAAATTTGCAAGTTAATCAAATTCAAATTCAACACATGAGTTTTAATTAGGTCCTATCAATGTAACTCAGCAGTTTGAAATGTTAACACATTACAGACACTCTAGCTAGGAAAAAAAAAACATATATATATATATATCATAGCATGCAATTGTTCATCCCCTCAACCCAAAGGATCAGGAGAAGAATAATTTTCCTGGCCAGAGGAAATGGGAAAAGTCAGCTGTCTGTCCATGTGAAGGGATCGCCTGCAGCAGGGTGAGGATGCCGGCTTCTTTCCATCTCAGGAGCAAAGCCCGGTGATTGGGACTGTAGGTCTGGCTGCTCTGGGGTTGCAGGTCTGGTAAGAGCAGAGACTAGATCCATAAGGATGCCAACCATTCCCACCCCAGACTCCCAGCCTTTTCTTTCAAGAGCTAACCCCTTTTGTGATTAATTTGATCATTTCTACCCATTACTCAAATGTGAAAATCATTGACACAAACCAATAATCACTCAAACAGCTCAGAACCATTTTGGCAACCTAAATCACCAGGGGCTTTAATGTGATTCTTTTTCCAACATCAAAGAAATAACTTTTGATACTTGTAGGCCCCCCAAATGACAAGTGTTAGTATGTCATATAGCAAGTGGTGAGAAGACTGTAGGAGTCATGGTAGGGCATTCCATGATGCTCACCTTCCTGACATGATCACTGAAGAACAAAGCAAGAGCATAAGCAAATGTGGTGAAGAAAGCTAATGGTGCCTGGATACCAAAAGATATAGCATCTAGGGTCTTAAAGACTTGAAGGTAAACAAGTGGCCATCTAACTCAGAAGCAACAAAGCCCACATGGAAGAAGCACACCAGTCTGTGTGATCACAAGGTGTCGAAGGGATGAGGTATCAAGCATCAAAGAACAAAACATCAAATCATTGTGAATGAGGGGGAGTACAGATTGGGGACACAAGGCACATCTGTAGGCAACTGTGCATCCCCTTACAGAAGAGTCTCGGGGAGGAGACGAGCCA